AAATTATTTTTTTCTTCTTTTTCTTACATATATTATATCACAGATATAAAACATACCCTGTTTATTTTAACAGAATTATGTATTATACATTGCATATGAGGAAAAGCTCTTATGAGTACAAATATTATGTGAATAAAACATTCAGAATTGTAGCAAAGTAAACTTCATTATGCATTATGCTATGATACATTTTCTTAATTTTGTTATGATCATATATTTGTAATATTAATATACCTTAATGCTAGTAAATATTATTTTATAACAGTGTAATTATGATACATTACATTTAACACATTTACAATATAGACTTATGTAATTTATTATATATATGCAATTATCATTTTTTAGATATATCATATATAAAATATGTAATTATTTTAAATTATTATGTACAAATTGTTAAAAAAAAATTTGTAATAAAAAGAATAAGTAATTATATTTATTGTTTTATGATGATATATTTCTTTATTGACAATGAGTGGTATGGAACATTTTTTACTTTCAAAAAAATGAGTATAATAATTTTATTTGAAATATTGATCTAAAATGATTTAGCATTTTATAAATCACAAAATTTTTACTCTTATATTAGAAAAATTAAAGTGTTTTTTAAATATTTATTTCTATATTATTTTCTATTATTAATTTCTCAAATATTTATATTTATTAATTTTTATAAATATCTATATTTATTATAATAGAATAGAATACCTCGATATAAAATCCATGAGTTTCGATAAAATTAATGTGATTATTTTCTTTTGAAACAATAAGAAAGAAACGCATACTAATTCTTAACAGTAATGTGTGCGCGTTGTTCTCATACGTAGATACAGTCAAGGTACACGTGCAGCTGGGACAAATGTCAAAATTTAAATGGTTGCGCCTCTTCGTCCGATGCGGCGCTGTCTTGCAAAAATCAGGTGGTCGCATTTACCAGCTGTGTTACTTTATACTTGCAATCGCACATAACAAAACTTAACTTTTTCATGTAGGAAAATCAGTATTTTCAGTAAATGTAAGAAGATTATACTTTATATTTTCTGTTACTTGTAAACATCATTCAAATTTTCTTAATTTTTTGGAAAATCAACAAAAATAACACATGGGGAACTACTTTTACGCGGAGTAATATCAGAAACCGTTCGAGCGAGTCAATATTTATCCTGCTCTTTTATTGTAATCATAATTTATTTTACTTGAGAAATATACTGAAAAGGAAGTACTTAAATTTTAGAAAGTTTGTAATATGAAATTTTTTGAAAGTCTGCATTTCCTATACGACTATTCATCAAAACAATTTTTGCGGAGGAATAATGTCGTGCTACGATCGCACAGACGCAAGCCAGCTTCGTTCATTGGCTGAAGGAAGCGAGCGATTCACACGTACGCAACACATGCTCTTTTCCGCAAATATATATTCACTAACACTGATCTAAAATTTTCGTACAAGATTCAGGAATGTATCTATTACATAAGATACCCCTCATAAATTTAAAAAAATATTTTTTTGGTTTTAGTAATTTATTGTTTTAAATTATATTTTTAAATATCCATATTCTATTCCAATAATTTGCTATGAAATAATAATAATTTTTTGTCCAAAGAAAACTAATTTTCCTACCTTTATTTTTCTTTAACTTTTACTAAAATACGCGAAATCAAAATCTACTATTGTACCGTCGAATATAAATTGTATATTTATAAACTAGTTCATTGTTATATTTTTCTAATCATAAATTTAAGTAGCATATAATTAATTATTTATGATAAAGTGAAATGATATTTTCATAAGATTAATGGAATTACAATAAATGTAAAAACAATAAATATAATATCTCAAAGCTTTAGCAATTAAGATATTACCAAAACTCATATGTGACTGCACAAACTGCACTTTTTAATGAAAAAAATAATAGGGAGTTCAGTAATAGTGTAATCGAGAACAAGCAAGATAAATACGATCCTGGTTGCTCAGCACAAGTAGGGGTGAAGGGAGAGGCAGGTTCGCACACACACCGGCGCAGAACGAAGAGCGAATTCACTCGCCGGCTCTCAACAAGAACGCGTCGACATATACACCGTGCTTGAACGTACTGAGGTGATATATTTGTTATTTATCCTACGGTCGAAGGCGAGTCAATCGTGAAAATGGCCGGGGAAAAGCGTACTCAGGATCAAGAGGAAACCTTATTGTCGGAAACGGTGATCTTAGTTGACATCGAAGGCACCACGACGAGCATAAGCTTCGTGAAGGTAACAAAGACCATGGCCGTGAGGCAGAACGCGCCCTACGGTTCTCGCATTTCACCGGTTTTCCATCACATTCTCTGACAATACCTAATGATCATAATTCCCCAGACAGGGAGTTTCGTACAGAGAAATTTCTGAACGTTATCATAGAATTTTTATCTTCAGAAAAATTTGTGAATTATACTTTCGCGCGTATTGTGTGTGTTCTCTTAGCATTACTATGCCGGCTGAAATCCAGTTTCAGGTTCCCTGTTCGTGAGACAGCGAGTTTCATGGAAGGCAATAGATTCTGTTTCGCTTAATATAAAGCGAATGAAATATATTATTTACATCATGTCGAACTTCCTACTTCTAACTTTAGGCTTGTACATTGTTTACTCGTTAATGTTTTTTGCGCAATTTTAGAATTGTTGTTTAAGTCGTAATGAAAACAAACTGATCGAGTATTTCAAAAATTCTACTTATTCATAAAAACGTAAAATGTTAAGTTACAAGATATTGTTTTGTAACATTATTGCACATACGATTTTTCAAAATAACGGAAACCGTAACGGCGCATCGCACTGTTAATTCGATCGGTGAAGAACACACTACATTCACGTTTACCTTCCTTTCAGGACACACTTTTTCCTTATGTGCGAGAGAATTTAAAGAAATACATTGAAACTAAATGGGAGGATGAAGAATTCAAGCAAGATTTTGAAAAATTAAAGGAGCAGGTAAACATTGCAAACAATTGAATATAAACATAGATATTGTATATGAAAATATTTTTTTTATTTATTAATATTGAAACAGATTGAAATATATTGAAGATAATATGAAGTATTATAATATCTGAAAAAATGGTATTTTTTGTTTATAGTAAATGTAATAATTTTTTTATTTACTTTTTAAATGTTTCCTTTTTGTTAACATTTTGATTCCATAGAATAAAATCAGTGTTGTAATTTTTAATAAGGAGTGACCAATAGCATGACAGGTAAGAGGCAGCTGCTTAGTTGATAGACATTGACCTAGGAATATTCTTTGTCCCAAAAGTTTGCTCCCATCTGTGAAATTTTGAAATTAAAATTAAATATATTTCTAATTTCATATTTATTGTTTTAGATTGTATATGTTATTTTTATTTTTATTTTAAACAATTCATTTAAAGTTCATGTCTTTATTATTGCTTTTCGTTATCACAGTATCATTTAACACATTTTATTTTCCAATTTTAAAACATTTTTACATTATTGGGTTTTACTTCTTGTTGCTTTACATTACTTAAAGTCATTGAAAGTTGCAAATTTATTATAATGCCATCTCATATATTTAAAACATAAATATAAGTAATTTCATGAAAAAACTTGAAACAGAAACAAAATTACAAATGAAATTAAAAAAAAATATAAATCAAGAGAATTATTTTTTAATTGTAGTTTTATAAATTTATAAAAATGCTTCTATTTTTAAAGATATTATGGGATATTTATATTATTATTTCATTAAAGTAAAGCTTATAAATATTTGATAATTTGATCTTAGGCAAAAAAAGACGAAGAAGATAAAATTGATGGTTTTGTACCAATTACTGGTGCTAATGTAGAAGAAGAAAGGGAGTCACTTGTAAAAAATATATTATGGCAAATGGATTGCGATCGAAAAACAGGTGCATTGAAACAATTACAAGGACATGTGTGGCGTGAAGCTTATAATTCTGGAACGGTTAAAGCACAGTAAGTTTCTTACAATCTTTTCCTCTCATAATTTATCGAAACCATTTCTGGGTTCAGTAATTAAATGTTTAAAATTAATTTAATATCAGTGGTATGTTTTCAGTAGTATACTTATAAAAATTTATCTGTAAGTGCACTGTACATATCTCTTAATACATCTTTGAATTTACTGTTGGCTTTTATATACTAATTAATGTCAGAATAAATTGTTATATTTTTAAAAATAAATAAATAATGATATACAGTTATATAGTATACACACCATATGTAGTGAGGTGAATATGTTGTGTAAGGGCTCACTTCAGTTTGATATAAATGTGATTATATCATTACAATTCGGATAAATTAGTATTTATAATATTATAAGAAATAACAAAAAAAAATCAAGAAAATGATAAGTAAATTATTTATATAGTGTTTATGAAGATGTTCCAAAAGCACTAGAATCATGGACGAGTGATGGTAAAAAGGTCTATGTTTATTCAAGTGGTAGTATCGAAGCACAAAAACTTCTATTTGGACATTCTGTACATGGTGATTTACTTAAGGTATTTTGTTATATTTTATTTATGATAGATGATTGTATTTATAAATATATGAGGGTTAAATATAAACAATTTTTTTATTTTTTATTTAGTTATATTGTTTATATAAAATATAATAATATACTATTGTTTTAGCATTTCAGTGGTTATTTTGATACTGAAATAGGTGCAAAACAAGAATCAAGTAGTTATAAAAATATATTAAGTAAAATTGGAGCTGAACCATCAAATGTAATTTTCTTAACTGATGTTGTTAAAGGTTAGTAACTAATCATTTCATCACATTTTAGTATTCACAAAACAATGATATTTGCGAATTAACATTATTTCTTATCTTCAATTCTCCATAATAGAAGCTGCTGCCGCAAAAGAAGCAGGCTTGTCAACAGTTATAGTACTACGTGAAGGCAATGCTCCTCTTACAGATGAAGAAAGAGTGACATATATAACTATTAAGTCATTTTTAGATTTAACATTTCAAACTTCTACAAAACGACAAAAGTTAGAAGCTACAGAGGTTCAAGAAAATATAAATAAAGGTATGCCTGATGTTAGTGAGCCAATGGATACTTCTGAAGACGTCGAAATGTCCGATGTCAATGAGAAGAAGATTGATAAAATAGAAACAAAAGAAGTTGTCCAAGAAGAAGCAAAAGAATGTGCAAAAGATCAGTTACCAAAAGAAACGCAAGTCTCTGACGTGAAAGTGGAAGAGCCTATGGTTATTGATACAAAAGATGTATCAAATGCTGAAAAGGTAATGGAAAATACAACTGAAAAGTTAGAACTTCAATCATCAGAGGTGAGTACAAAACTAGCAACACCCGAAAATGTACAAGCTGCCGTGAGTAGCAACACCGACTCAGTAACACCTTCAAAGGATGATATCGATAAATCTGCGGTTTCTGAGAAAGTAGAAAAATCTATGGATACAACAGAAAAGGCTGTAGAATCTACACCAGATGCAATTCCTACTGTCAATGATCCATTGGATGTTGAGACAAGTGAGCCTAAATCAAAGTCTGAAGAAGTTACTATTACAGAGAATAAGACTGAAGAGATTTCAAATATCGCTAAAGAAACAAAACCTGATGATACAAAAATGTCAGATACAAAAACTAATGAAAATGCATTACAAGAAAAAGACAGTAACAGTATAAATGAAAAATCAGAGGAATGTACTAATAAATCAGAAAAAGAAACAAATGCGGAGTCCACTGAAAAGGTTGTAATTAATCCTAGTATACCAGAAACTAAAAAATCAGAAAATGATGAAACTTCGGTAAAATCTGCACAAGAGTCCACAAAAACAGAAGAAAAACCTGCAGAAAATGGTGATGTTCCATTAACAAATGTAGAAAAAATTACTGCACCAACGATAACAGAGCCAGAAGCTGCTAGTAGCAAAGCAGATACAAATATTGAAATGAAAAATACGACAGAAACAGTTAATAAAGAAACAAAATCTGAAACAGAATCAGAGTTAACTAATGTAAAATCTCCTAAAGTGAAAGAAACAGAGGAAGCAGCAGCAGTGTCTGTAAATGATGCCGACAAACAAGTAAGTGCCGAAGCATCAAAACAGGAATTGACAGAGAAACCAACGAAAGAAGACGCTGTAGCGGATGAAACAAAAGACACAAATACAGTAGATTCCGAAAAGAAAAAATTAAATGGTACAACACAAAACGGAGATACAGATGTGCCAGTGTCAGAGGATAAATTACAGAGAAATGGACTAAATGAGGGCTCATCGAATGAAAATGTTAATTCGTCAACGAGCGAAAGTACTTCTGCGCAAAATGGTGAACCAGAGAGTTCCTCTGAAGCTAGTGCAGAATCTATAAAAGTCAAAAAGGTCGTTGATTCTGCAGTAGCTGATGGTGCCGGCGAACCTGACGTTGTTCCCCCCGTAGTTGTAGCTGCGACGTCTTAATCTTGTTCTTATACATTTTAAGAAGTCCTTCATACATAACCCCAACCCACAATACTTATCCGCAGATATAAACTGAAAAGTTGGCTCCCTACACCTTACATAAATCGTACGACGTTAAAGATGTAATACGTTAATTTAAGATACAGTTCATAAGATTTCTATTTCTTCGACAAATGTGAAGGGAAACGATAATACGACATATACAGCGCGTTTCAGATTCGATTATCTTTTACATGTCACAGTTTGATATAACACATATTTGTCGATTGTGCTAAATAGAAAAGCTAAAAAAGATCCTAAACATCCGGTTCCTACTTTACATTGCTTAATTTATTTCGTTATACTTTGATCTGCTTTTTTAGTTTGTTTATACAAATGTATTTTTTATAGTTGACATTACGTATATGTATTTATAATTCGAATTGACCCAGGGATAATCGAAAATGTCATTCGCTGTAGTCGGGTTAACAAGTATTTTTCATTTTTCTTTTTCTATTACATTCTACAATGTGTATTAAGATTCTTCTTTTATACTGCCTAAACGGAATGTTACGGTATGAAAATTTATAGGATAGCAAATTCACCATAGTTGGAGTATGCTAAAATACCGAATGTACTTTGTGCCAAATGAATTAATTCGTCAGTTTGAAAGTTTTTCTATACTTATACATATAATGTTTAAAGATCTGATCACTATTTTAGTTTCTTACAGCAATCAGGGAACTTTGACTATGTATGATTTTAAGACTGAATTGGAATGCCTCGAAAAGTCGCTGGCTTTAGACTATACAATATAATTTTCGCATACTCTTATGTACTTAATCTTATAAACTGATAATGGCACAGTGATCTTCGAATCATAAGTCCAAACCTACTATCGATAAATTGTGTTTTACAATAAACTTTATTCGACTATATTAGATATATTTTTTCGCGTTCTGAAGAACGCTTTGCGACATATTGTAATGTGTCTGACATCATATTCCTATTTTTCTCTCTTTTTGACATTTATTTATCAAAACGTATATTTCTAGTTTAGAACATTTTGAACGATGTTGGTCTATACGCATTACATATTTGTGTTTTTTTATACTTTGTATCATAATTAACATTTATCGATATTAAGTCGATTTTGAGCGATTGAAAGTTTTGTGTTGCATTTATTAATGTCCTATAAAAATCATGACATTCATATATTGTCAACGACATGACTGTAACACGGTATTGCACGTATACATTATTTTATTAGTTATATAAAATGTATTTAATATAGAACAATTCGATTAGAAGGAAAAACACTTCGGTTTGGAAACTTACTCTTTCATTCCTACGGATTATTGTGAAAATTTGTTTTTATAAAATAACCGTTTTCCGATAGTGGTCATTTCTTCTTTTTTCTTTTTTCTTAAGATTCGTAAATTATTTTCTGAATTTGACAAGAACTCGATTATTTATTTATTGTCCATTCCTGCAAAATTGACTGTGATTTAACGATATACTGGTAGACATAGGGAATTTAAAACAATTCATTTATAATTCCTGTGTAATAATTCCTTTGGCAGGTTATCGTATTAATACAATTATTTTTATTGAAATTAATATACATTCTGTCTGATTGAAGTCACTGTGAAGACTGTAGACAGTAATAGACTATAAGCAATTAAAGTTTCCGTATTTTTTCCTTCTTTTTTAATTTTTGATCGTTTTTTTTTTTTGCCAGCGGCTATGCTAGGAAAACTCAACGATCCACAAAAGCGAGTAATCGAAATAAACAAAGTGCGACGTCAGCGTGTTCTAGACTTGTTATCTATAAGTACATGTATAGTCAGTAACGATTACACTGTGAGACTTCAAACGAATGCATATTTTACAGGACACTTGACAGACCTCGCATTTATTTATAAGGTATCCTCACGATAACAAATACCATTTTAATACTCAATCATTTTCTTTTTTTGACGTTGCACGACCCATTATGGATGAAAAAAAAAAACAAAAAAAACAGAGATTGTGAAAACAGTAATCTCTATTTGTTACCTGAAACGAAATTCCAATCCGTGTGCTTGATAGTCCTCGTTTTATGATCAAAGATATCGGAGGATATATCATAGCGAATAAGACCATCACCAATGTTCGATTTGATCCTACACGATAACTTATCCTTAAGTCAGGTGCATATGAAAAAATTTCCAATTGATATTACAAAATTTAATACAGTTGCAAATTGATCGAATTGATCGAATTGATCGAATTGATCGAACGTATAATCGATAACACAAGTGTGCCCGAAAATGCTCAATTGCAAAAATGGAACAGTTTCGTTAAAATTTTTGGGGCAACCTCTGTTAGCGATGATTAACAAAATGATTAACAAAAAATACAAACCATGGTGTTAACAGCCACGAAGCGTTAACCACTGGAAACTGCCTATTTTTTGCCATAACTTTCTTAATTGTCCTTTCAGTAACATCTCGTATTTTTACATTCTGTCTATTGATATCGTATTTGAAAATGCGAACTGACTGCCATCGATACAATAAAATTAAACTTCTGGACGTCAACTGGCGATATGTATAAAGTTGTTCTCGGCTGATTTTCACGGTATCATCGGATATCATCGTCATTCCCACATCATCCATTCATATCATCGCGTCGACAGCCGAAAGAGCCGAACTACATGTCGCTAATTTTCGTCAGATTTGCTCCCATTTTTTCTTTTTCCCTTTTGCAAGTGCTCAATATCAACGAACCTTAGTCTTTTTTCTTCAAACGTACATGATCATGTTCAATTACACATAAAATAGCGTCGTTAATGTTCTAAGTTTAGGGATCGTTAACTCTTTGCGGTTTAATTTTAAGTATTATTTACAAAGACTAAGCTTAAAGTATTTAACGATGAATTAGACGATTAAAATGTAATGGAGGAAGAAAAATGAAGAAGAACGAAGAAAAAAAAAGGAAAGAAAAATAAGAATAAAAATTAATCATGCGAAATCGGACGAGACGAAGTACTCGTTTTTCATTAATCTGTGAACCGCAAAGTGTTAAAATAAGAAGCGTTTGTAAGTTTAACGTTTAAATTTTCGACTGTGACGTGTCAAGTTAGAGATTCGAATCAACGTTTGATACCCGGTGTGATGCGACAACACTCTGAGACATGTATCAGTGCAGTTTTATTCTGTTACATTCGCATACGGTCGTGTAGCCGTCATACACTGCCTTGTTATTTATTTTCGTACATGATGTGTACCGGATATTGACCGATCAAAATCTTCATCAGTCATGAACCACCTAACGAAACGTTGATGCTTTGTATTTTGTTAAAAACGAAACGAGTGTGTCGCTTATATATCATTTTTCGCTTGTGACACATTTTGTTATTTCAACTCGTACGTATGATAGTTGTAGATTTTGTAAGCGGACCGAAACGTACAATTTTTCGAGACGTTCCTCGCGGCTTACAAGTCGGACAGCTACTTAAATTGTATGCGTAAGATTTGTCGTCCTTTCAAAATACATTAGATACCGAAATACATTAAGTACCGAAGATAGGAAGTACTAATAAACAATAGCTTCGTATCGATTAGTGATTATTATTTGTAATTCATTGGCTATTTTATGTAACATGTCAATATAAGTGTAGGAGAGAATGTACGGACTTAATTGATACTTTTTAACGATAACCTTCGATGGAGATTCCTTGAACGAAGACTCGTATCCTTTAAGAGACTGCTCCGTTGCCTTTCTTTCTCAGCCAAGTATTTTACATACTTTTTCTTTTCTTTCGTTACACGAGACCATTTTGTAGCTACTGTATCTCAGTGTTCTCTAAACGATTAACGTGTGTGTGTGTGTGTGTTACACGGCGAGGGCACAAAACTGAGTTCTATTTCATCGTATCAATCAAGCTTAAACGATCATCGGATCTTACACACATTTTATTGGATAAAGTAACACATTACTGACTCCGAAACGGCATGCACTGTACAGAAAAGCATTGACGATTCTGTTCTCTCTAAACTCTTGACTGCATTCGTAGAGCAAAATAAATGAATTTTGCAATTAGAATCCGAGCGTGTTCACCTTTTATTTCATTGTTCCTAACAAAGGCTTTGAATGCGTGGACAAGTTTATTCCCGAGAGAAAGAGAGAAAGGATATCCGTGAAATCGAAGCGAAATCAGCGTACTCAGCCCCCATATTCTTCATACTGTAAATTTTGTTTAGGTGTATATATTCTCGTGGTATATTATTACATTAAATATAATGGGAATAAGAAAACGATTAGCGTCCGCAACTTAGAGTTAAAGGAACGATATAAAAAGACAAAAAAAGCGATTAAAGTATATCGATGTACGTGATTGAAAACTAATCCGCTCTCGGTATTGTTTCCTCGAATTGGTTCGTGCTACTCTTGTCCTCAGCTAGTCGATAATGTTAGGTGCAGCAGCATTTTCACCCGATCGATCCTGAGTGCTAGTCATTCTACTATGCGCACCGGAGCATCAATTTTCAAGCAGCCAATTCAGTAGATCGAGATGTAAAAAATCTCTGTCATTCTAATGACAATTTTCGTTGAAGCAATAATATTGCCTGGATACGATTCTTTTTTTTTTTCCTCGACATAATGTTAAGAACAAGATGTATCGAATATTTGGTACTTGAAATACATATTGTTCAAATGTACGAGAAATTGCTTTTTCTACGACACGTCTCTCTTATGCGAAATGTTACAGTATTATTTGGAAAAGAAGGGAAATAGAAATGCAAAAAGTTTTTTAAAAAATCATTTTGCGTATATCACATGTAAAAATATAAAAAGTTTTAATGCCCACGTAAGGCGTATCATACTAAAGGTAAATTAAAAAAGAAAAAAAAAAAGAAATTAAACATATAAGAATTGAAAGACATCAAGCATTAAAAAAAAAAAGAAAAAAAAAAGATGAAAAATTAAAATAATCTGTGTTAATAAGAAATTTCTTTTAACTAATAATTTCTAAAGGTTTTAATATGCTCTAATATATCATGCTATACCTTTTCTACTTGTATTAAAAACAGAAATATAAATTCTATTAAAAAATAATATCAGTAATTTTGAACTGTTCTTGCCACCTTTACATGTACATTTTTCTTTGTAATATTCGAACGAACTCTTTAATCTCTTTTAGCCTGTTCGACTATTCGTTATGTTCTACCATTTTGTTG